TCCAACTTGCCAAATTTACACAATATCTCTTTGTTGTTTGTGTTAATCTGTCCATTCAAATACCCTGTTTCTTAAAATGCATGCCACAACCAGCTTACTGGTCCTTTTGTAAATTATGCAGAATTACGGTTATAAGCACAGAAACAAGTCCCTTGAGGAGATTTTGATTGTTGCCAGGAAGAGGGAATCAGAACTGATAGGATATAATGAAGATCCAATCGATGTTGAGGCTGACATATCTGTAAAAATGAAGAGTCCACATATACATGAAGAGAACATACCTTTTCAAAATACAGAAACATCTTTCACTAGGAGTTCTAAATTCCACAATCAAATTATAGCAGGGTCTGGCAAACATGATGTCAATAATGGAAGGAACAATCAACCCAAGTTGGCAACACAGAGTGGTCGTCTGCCTAGTGAAGCAACAGAGAAAAGCAATAAAAAGGTGTATCATGGTATGCTAAAATTTCTTACTTTAAAGTGCTACCATTAGAAAATTTGAAACCTGGTGGAAGTCTAAACAGTTACCTACATATTCAGATTTACAGTTACAATATTGTGGTGTAGCTCAAACTAAGCAATTACATATTCCATTCAACTTTGTAGTGTACATTTGACTTAATTTTGTTGCGTGTACGCGAAAAATAACTTAATTTTGTTCTGTTGGGCACAACCGCACAAGTGGACACATAATATATGTTATCTCTTTTTAACTTTATGTGCTAAAATGTACGAGATTGGCAACCGTGTCGTTGTACTAACATCATTTTAAACTATGTGTTTACCAAATACTGGGTTCACACTTCACAGTTTTGATTGTTTAATTTTAGAGGAAATGCCTTAACACTGTCAATCATCTTGGTAGGTGACATGGTACACAAAACAGCAAGATCATTCCTTTTTGAACTATGTGCTGCAAATTATTGGAAACCTCCTGAATTCAAGTTATGTAAAGAGGAAGGGCCAAGCCACCTTCGGAAGTAAGTTCATCTTCTTACTGAGAGCACCCGCAATAGTAAAGTAAGGTGCTATCTATAAAACATGTACATCTCAGCAATAGGCTAGATTAATAGTAAACCACTTCAATGGTATGTCTATATGGGTATATATAACTCTCTAATCCATTGCATTGTTTTTCTCTATAGACTATTTCTAGGTTAGTAGATAGTTTTGCTCTCTCTCTTCATTTAATATCTTCCAAGTAGGAAAATATGCTGACATGGATGTCTTGTAGAGAGCCTATAGCAGGTACAATAGCAGGCTATTAGCCAGCTGTAAACATATTTGTAGCCAGCTACAGCACGGACTCTAAGACGCAATGTGTATATAATAGGTGGGACCATATATTAGTAGTATAGTAAGCAACTATTGTATGAATTGGCTATTAGATTGACTATAGATAAATTGGAGCTAATAGTGGGCTATACTATTAAACTTGCTCTAAGGGTGAAATAATAACCTTTACGTGTTACGATGAAACTTACGTCCTACCTGTACTGTTTCCTTTCCTTTGTGCAGTAATATATACATGGCCTACCCAGAGTAGTAGATGCTCATATTTAAGTTCTTTATAGTCTATCCAGAACGCAAATTAGCTTGTACATTTTATGATCAGAATTTCGATGATGCACCTTGGCTTTTAGGTTAAACATGGTGTTCTAAAATGTGGATTATACATAATGCCATTCTCATACTAAAGCTTGGTATAAGCTGGAGCAGCAATCGTTTAACTGACAAGCAGAACTATTAAGCACGATTCTGTCATATAATAATTTCTATGCCTAGGGAACTAGATGACACATGGCTTATACATTTTTTAGTAATATTGTACTTCCTCCGTTTCACAATGTAAGTCATTCTAGCTTTTCCCACATTCATATTCATGTTAATGAATCTAGATAAATATATATGTCTAGATTCATTAACATCAATATGAATATGGGAAATGCTAGAATGACTTACATTGTGAAACGGAGGGAGTACACAACTATCTCTGTTGCCACTTGCATATGTACACATGCTTGCTAACTTCCCTGGAGGAATGATACAGGTTCACTTACAAGGTGGTTGTTGAGATCAAGGGTGCTTCGGCGACCCTTTTGGAGTGTCATAGCGATGGTAAGCTTCAGAAGAAGGCTGCACAAGAGCATGCGGCACAAGGGGCGCTCTGGTGTCTCAAGCAACTTGGGCACCTACCAAAAGAAGAGGACGTTCGTGTATAGCAACATTGTCATGTTTTGGGGGTCACAGTGCGAAAGTACAGTGATATTTGTTTGTCCAGAGATAAACGTGCCTTTCTCTCTTTTGCTCTGATGTCCAACCTCCCTTATTAAGGGACGTGTATAAATTTTCACTTCTCCAGTGCCCTTTGAATGGCTAGAGTTGTATAGCTAGTCCATTATTTTCCATGAGACGTATATTGGTATATAGTTTTATTCTTCAATAGACGCATATAGTATTCTTTCAAGTTCCATTTGAAAACTTGGGGATTTTCGGTCGTAGGTTCACGAGTTTGGGAAAACTTGGGAATTTCATTCTAGTTTATCCCAATCTTCCCAAACTTGCTGAATTGAATTGCTGGAAAATTTTGCTTTATCCCGAAACTCCTTTTCCTGAGTTAATCCGAAGCTAATTGCTTCATTTACTGATAATTTACATCAAGACATAGGCATATATGGCATCTAAACGGAATGATGGGAACATAATGGCTAAGTTTCTGCTCTGATACCACAATGTTGTCTCTAATTATATAAATTGAATCTTAGCCTAACATGATCACTTCTTGCTTATGTGAAATTTGATCTATAACCGTTTTGAGATGCCACTGAAGCCACTTCAATCTTCTCCCGGTTTCTTTCTTTATGGACTAGTGTTTATGCACTTATGTTTGGCTTCGAGATCACCGGTTTTAGAGATCGATGGAGCCCTCTCTTAGGTTTTAAAATTGGTGATAGAAGAAATAGTTGTCCTACTGCTCCTCTTAATTCTTTTCTTATAATAGACGGTGCTTGTGAGGCTTAGGGACTAATCCCGACTAATTTTTCATATAAAACTTACAAATAATGATATTAGCCGTTTAATTTAACACTATTACGGGCATGTTTGGTACAGCTCCAACTCCTGAAGGCATGTTTGGTACAGCTCCAACTCCTAAATATTGCTTCAAGAGTTGAGTCTGGAGTGGAGTTGTGGAGCTGTCTAAATCAAGCTCCACAACTCTAGTATATTTTATGAGAGAGCTCCACCTAACTCCACTCCTAGTTTTGGTGGAGCTGAAACTGTTTGGCTGAGCTCCAACTCTAGGAGGGGTGGAGCTGGAGCTAGAGTTGTGCCAAACAAACCCTACAAATAATGATATTAACCGATTAACCGTTTAATTTAACTAGATAAAAATTTTAGAAAATCTATCTCTATAATACGAATTTCGTGCACGTTCTCGGGCAGAGAGCTCTACCAAGTGACGCGGCGTGATTCACGGATTGCCCCTCACGTGCAATGGAATGGCAGCAGCCCCTCGGCCATCGCCCACGTGTGCACTCCAGGCAGCTAGGCCTTGATTCCTTGAGTCTAAACGGTTGCACTTTGGTTGGGCTGGGTTCATATGTGATTAGGGAAAAAAAACACGAACATTCTTGGAGGAGAGTGTGAACTGTGAAGAAGGGGGAAAACGGTGCGCGGACGTGAGACGAGAAAAGCGTGAGAGAAAACGGTCTATGTGCATGCCTAACTGCATCTCCACTTCATATTTATAGAATGATCCTTGTAATTCTTTTAAGGTTCATAATAGTACCTCCAACCAATTATATGCAATTATATACTCATAGGATGATTTTATCAAATAAATAATTACTTGTCTGTATTTTAGTTGATGAGAAAAACAAAATAAGTCAAATATTTAATGTGCTTAAATATTTATGTTACTATATTCGGGAAAGACAAATACAATACTTCAAATAAGAACATGGAAATATAATACAAATATGGATAAAACCGTGAAAACATATAAAAGTTTTGTTTCATTCAAAACTTTTACATTTATAGAAATATATGGCACTGTAAATCTTTTACTACCTTCAACCTAGAATAGAAGAAATTTTATAGTTGAACATGGTTATTAAGAAATTTGGTAGAATTAAATGGGGAAGAATGTGATTGGATGGAAAGTGGAGGTAGGTAAAAAAAGAATTGTAAAGGGTTGTGAATGGTTAGGAATAGGATGTTCGTAGGTTATGATCGTATGCTTTCTTGAAATTTATTTTCAGAATAGTATGCGGAGAATTTGTTATATTTTGGAACAAATTATAAAAGCTAAAAATTATTATATATATTTTGGAACAAATGAAGTAATAAATACCTCCTTTCAAAAGTCTAAGACATATTTCATTCTTTGGTTTTTCCAAAAGTCTAAGTCCTATTTGTAGTCATTATGTGTTAAATTAAATTGTTGAAGCCATTTTAATACTTATTGGTTGCATATTTATTGGTTTTGTCACATGGTGAATAAATTAATTGCTTCTTGGTCTTGATGAAAAAGAAATATGACTCAGATTTTTGGAAGGAGGGAGTACTACCTAAAAATGCTATTAATAGGTTCTATCAAATATTTAATTTTTATAGTGCAGATATAAGAAGTCATGGGTGCGCCTATTGGCGCGTCAATTTTCTGTATGTACTCAAAGCATGACACTTATTCTTAATAAGAGTTCACTAAAATAAAATTTAATAAGAGTTTCAGCAAGATAAAATAAATTTAGCTCCGTTCAGTGTAGGTTCGACTCCTCGCTTCCGCAGGTTTTGCGAGAATTTTTATTATCTGATGAATCTTGATGTGAAGTTCATGATTTGAAAGTTTTTACGACTAAAAAACTATCGCAAGTACTATAGTATAGTAAAACCGAAATAAAACTTTAGTAAGTATAAACTTTTCCTAAATTTTATCTCCTGTTTCGGTATCACACCGAAACGATCAATCAACAAAAGCGTGCCGCCGTAGGCCCGAGATCCGGCCGTGTATTAGCGCTCACGAGTCGGGGCAAGCGCACACACCCGCATCGCACGAGCAGAGGACTCGAGACCCACGCGCATCCTCCCCGGCCGCCGCGGCGGCTCGGCCTCCGCCACTCACCAGTGAGCTTCGACAGCGAGGGTTTGCACGGGATCCCCGGGTACGATGGCGGCGGCGACGGAGGAGCAGCTGCGAATCACGGGATCCGTCGTCCCTGGAGTCGGGGAAGTGGAAGAGGTCGACGAGGCCACAGAGGGGGGACGACTTGGGCGAGGCGACGACGACGAGATCCTGCGGTTCATGGACTCTGTGGACGGCTACCTCCTCCTCATGGATTCACTGTCCTCCGTTCTCCGCCCGGTACGGCTCCCGCTCTCCGCTCATCCACCCCCGACCTCTTTCTTGGTTTGTTGTGATTCGTGTTTTTTTTCTTGGATTTCCTTTGCTCTGCGATGTAGTTTTAACTCCAGATGAAGCGATAGTTATTACAGGAGTAGCATGCAGTTAACTATCGGGAGGGGAAAAGAAACGAGTTCGTGATCTTTGAATTCTAGCCAACTGCATGTCACTTAGAATCAGCTCCTAATCCTGTTCTGGAGAAGAATGCTTGTTCAGATTATTTTGCTCGTATTGCACCAACAACCACCGAGTGAAGTGCCCTGAAACTTGTGTGGATGCTGATTTTTACCTTTATGTTAAGAACCCACTTCTTCCAACTCAATAGCAAACATCCACCATACAAGCAACAAGTGTTTTGGGGTGAAAAGAGAAGAAGAAACTAGGGATTACAAGTTCTAGAAGCTTCTAGAACTGAGAGAGAGAAGGTTGGAGGTAGGAGGAGAGGTAGGGGAAAGAGATCGACAAGGGTGCCCACCGGCCGCCCAAGTCGCCGCCGCCGCCGGGAGCTTCAGCTCCGCCAATCCAATTGATCAATCGATGTGTGCTGCAGGAGCAGCAGCCTTCACTTTCTTTACTGTTGCTTGGGCTGGCTTGGGCTTGCTTTGGAGAATGGATGACATGGCCCATTAGAGCTCCTAACACTTTAGCTCGATAATTTTCAGTAACTGAACTCTTTTGGCTGCCTTGTTCATGTACTGATTAGGAAAGAGTGAGGTCCTTTATTGCTGTTTAGTCTTTGTCTGATTTACTGAACAGTAGCAGAGTTCACAGATTAGCATGAACAATGGTTTTGTTTTGTCTCTAGGGGTGGCTTGATCTGGCAAGTGCCCGTCACTCGATGGGTACATCACGTGTTTCGAGTACACTCTTCGATCACAAAGAGCAATCTGCAGCTAGCAAGCTGCAAGTGGTTGATTCTGCAGACTCGCAGTCATCAGGTGAAACATCTCTCTATTAATCCTTGCTAGCAATGTCAAAACGTATTTGCAAACATCATTGTTTTCTCCAGAAGCCCTCGTGTTATCTTTTTTGTCTTGTATATCTAAGTATTCTGGTAGTTCCATGTTGCACGTCATGAACTAATCTAAGATCATGTTTCAGAGCCAAACCCACATTTTATCCTGTCAAAGTGGTGCTTGCAAGAAAAATCCAACTCCAATGACGCTGTCGGTGTGCGAGATACTACTAAGCCAAAATTAAGGTACCGAGGGTCAGCAGCAACGCCAGGTATTAGCATTCCACAATCCATAATTAGTAATATTTCTTAGTTCTCCTTGCTCACATCGTATCTTCTCGTGTTAAGAAGATGGCAGCCATGATTCAGATGCAACTCCGGCAGAGTCTGCTACTAGTGTGGACACTAGTAGCCATGTAAGTTTAATATGAAGCCTACATTATATACATGATGAAGGATAGAAGACTGGAACTCGCATATATACATTATAGCTCTTTTTTGTAAAACGTTTTGTAACCGTTATAAATTGGAGTTGTCCACCTACCAAGCTATATTGCTTCATCTAGGGAAGAAAACATTAGAGCATAATTGATGGTGTCTCTTATAACAACAAAAGTAGAGCAGTCACTATTCTAATTTGTAAATGCCAACAAAGCCAGAGTTTTCTTTGTGCATTGACTAGTTCATTTGACCAATCTTCCCCCCATTGACCAACTAGTTTCTTACTATGTGCTACTTCCTCCGTTTCAGGTTATAAAACTTTCTAGCATTGCCCACATTCATATATATGTTAATGAATCTAAACATATATGTGTGTCTAGATTCATTAATATCTATATGAATGTGGGAAATGCTAGAAAATTTTATAACCTAAAACGGAGGTAGTACTATATTCTTGGACTTCAAAATTTTACCGAACTTTTTCTTGATATTTTGCACCTTAGGTTCAGAAGGCAAGATCAAAAGCACTATCAACCTTTGGAGCACTGGTATCTCCAAAACTACGATCGGCCCAGATGTCCTTTGAAACAGGTTCGGTTCTTTCTAACAGGAACATGCACCGTCAGTTTGAACCCCTCAGTTTGTGTGTTGGTCTAACTCTATATTTATTTCATGCAGCACTTGAATTAATTGTGGAATTAGCAAATTCTAGGTCAGACATGTTATCTAGTTTCTCTCAAATAAAGGGGGAGTGACTGTTGATTCAGCCACGCGTGCAACACATCATGTTCAGAAGCATTTCCGTGCTGCTGTTTGATCTGTCATCTATATACCAACTACTTCACTACGGTAATCAATAATTCCATACATCAGACCTTCATTATGGGCAAGACTTTTATCTCTGTAGATTTGTCCGATGAATTTTTTCGTGCTTTGCAGTGTGCCAGAGCTAATGAGCAAACGGAACGTTGCTATTCTCATCTTAGTTTTTTTTTTTTTTTAACAAACAGCAGCAATTGTAGAAAACTTTATTTAGATGTTGATATGAATCGAGATGCCTCTGGTCATAAACATATTTGCTCTTGTACCTTGAAAATTGTGTGTTGTCCTCGTTTGAGACTTGCGTGCATATTGGCCCAGATGAAACAACTGAACAAATCCTTTTGTTGATCAAGATTCCAAAACAGTGACCCAAAATATGCATTTATTCCCCTTATTTCACCCTTTTTGGTACATCTTTTGGTATACCTCCACACTTTTTTTTGCCACGTTTACTAACTGCTTAGCCTAAGGATCATAGAGCTTATATAATTTACAGTTCAAAGCACTTGAGGATAAAAGGGCATTTTCCAAGCCTTATGTTTGATTACACGAATTTACCACACACGAGGAAGGATGTGCGTGTCAATCACACCACTTACGGCCGGGGAATGAAGGTCTTTGCATTCTAAGTCCATTTGCAATTTGCGCAGATGAGGATCCTCAGATAACTGTCCTGATTACTTGAAGCTTTATCATACAAACTGACTACCAAGGGCAATGCGTCCTCTTACTTCCGAGTTCGACCATAACCCCTAAACTGGTCCTGCACAGGTTCCATTGTTTGCAATGTTTCTTGATATCTATCAGCCAAAGAAGCTGAACGGCAGTAGCCCTGAAAACTCAAAACGGACATCAGACACAGAGTCAGAACAAATGATTTTGGGGTTAACCAACTTTGTGGCGATCACCAATCACCAAGTAAGGGTAATGCACTAGTGCCACTGAAGTTTTTGGATAATTGCTAGGTTGCTAGTAAAAGAATGTTGGGCAAGCAAAGCCTATTTGTTTACGCATATAACAGTAGGGCAAACTCCAATCCCCCCTCAAACACCCCCAAAAAAACTTTCTTCTTTGTCCGAATTATCCCCTAAACTACAGTACCGTCCAACAACTCCAAATATATCCATAAGACAAGTACAAGCTGTGTGCGCTTAGAAGAGTGGTACTTACAGGCAACCCAGGTTTGGGAGTTTCAAGCATGTACTAAGATCAGGCGGTTAACTGATGGTAGTCTTCATTTGCACCGTCACCTGTTTGGTACCTTGACCTCACTCTCTGCAAAAGTTTAAGTGTATTTTGTTGGTTAAATTTACTTGGAGGAAGCTTTCGATATATAACAAGTGAAATGAAAAGCAGAGATGATGTGAAAAACAGAATATTTATCAAGGACAAGTAATTAGGCAAGGTAAGTGTGCAGGTTTGTTTGTGTGCTCATGGTTCTGCCCCTTTCTTCCTCTTTAATACAAACTGTGTGTTTGAAAATAAAAATAAGCAAGGTAAGAAACCTCTAGCAGTGTGACGTAGTAAAAGTCTTCCATGTGCTGCATAAGAGCTGAACCATCCCTGATTGATCGGAGCAAATTTATTTCTGTCTGAAGTAGTTTTTCCACAAGTTGCTTTTCTCCTTTCATCTGCAGGGATTTAATACACCTGATTTCAATTGCAATTTGAGCAAAATCATTTGTTTATTCAAGAATCATTTATCCTCTTCAACTTACATCGGTATTATGAGTTCAACAGAACATTGTGAAGAAACTAATTAAAACAACTAAGTGTCTCTTTTTATTTTTAGAAAACTAGAATCCTCATCTTATCATCAGAATCAAGAGAATCTAGCTAGTCAAGAGTCTACAGACAAATGTATTAAGTTCACAAGACACTCACAAATTCACTGACAAGAACATCAGGGGTGTACTCCCCTATGGAATCACCTTCATCATCTATAGTCTCCTCATCTACCTATATCAAAATACATACAATGGTTTCAGTTGAGAACTTTAGAATCTTATGGATAAAAACACGGAACTTTGAATGGAACTAAAAAACATTCCTACAACAAAGTTGATTGAAATAGGATAAGAATACTAATCACCAGTGCATCTTTTAGATCTCCAAATTTAAGATAAACTGGTGCTTCCACATGGCAATAGCCCATAAGACGTGGTACTGTAGGAATGATATCACGGTGATTGACAACTCTCCAGCTGTCTTTCACTTTCTGCAGAAATTAGTCCAAAATCACAATGGTTTCAAAAGGCAGATTGTGGTATTGCAGACTGCTTTCAATTTTTGTTTCAAATTATGAGAGATGGTATTTGCACTATCAACCTTGTCCATATGATGAAATGATTAGATACTGATTTAAGGAAAACCGGTTTGAACTTTGAACGACAGAGTGATATGCAAAATCAATGAATGCAAGCCTATTTCAATTTGAAATTCTTAGTTACCGCATTGTAGACTTCAGCGAACCTTCTATTTCCAACTCTAGGAGAGCCAAAGTTGTACATTGTCACAAATATGACCCCACTCCTATAAAAGGTGAACGGATAAATATGAACGAATGATCGTAGAAAAGGATGTAGGGAAATAGAAGCTGTCTTTAATGCAATTTTACAGATTGTCAATTGCAGAAGAAGAGCTATACAAACATATATTTGTTGCTTTATAGCACAATCATATAAAACTGGGAGCTTTCAACAACAACAACAACAACAACAATAATGGATTATTGTTATTGTTATTACAACAATGGAGTATCTTTCAAAATAAGTTCATTCAATTCTATTAAATGCCACTATTCATACTAAAATGGAAGTTGTGCTAGAGAACGACAATTGAACTGGGTCAAAGCACATATAATCTTCCTTCCTGCAAAGGTTTGCTAGAGCGTGACAATTAAATTGGGTCAGAGACCTGCCAAGTTCATCTGATCTTTCACAACCAAAGAGTTTCTTATGAGTCGTTAAATGTTTAACTGAAACCTATTCCCACATTAAGCCTGAACTTAATGGTATGATAAGGTCTGTATGAAATAAGGTCAGATATGATAAAGGCCCAAGGGTCTTCCGGCTAGCACCACAAGGTGTGGGCTAGCCGACCTGGGTTGGGTTCGAGCCTCACCCCTGTCTTAATAAATTTCAATATGAGAGTCTTTCCTCTCATATCCAGCAAATAAGATCAGATATCAGATTCAGAGCTTCTTACTTGGCCATTAGACTTGATGAAAGTTCAAGAGCAAGAAGGGTTGCTAGTGCTCCACCTAAACTATGTCCAGTCACATAGACATGCCACTTAGGTATGTTTTCTCCGTCTTCTTCATCCCTGCAGTGGAAAAATGAATAGAAACAAAGAAAGATTACTTAATACTTGGCAGGAGATATATGTTTGTGGTAGAAACTGTTTCATTATAGAAATACTTACTGGTATCCTACGGCATATTTAACAAGAGCGATGATTCTATTCCTAACAGAGTCATATGCACTCAAGAATCCGCTGTGAACCTGAAATGTAATATGTCAAGAAGTTGGATACCAGATAGCATAAAGTGAGGTGAAATACAGAAGCAAGTGAATAAAGATATAGATGACTAACTTGAATTTCTTGTTTGAAGTCACCACCCAACCTCTCAGGATTTAGTCTGCATTCAATTTGGAAATATTCAGGTAAACATAACATAAATCAAAATGTACCACAATGCTAGCACTCTTTGAAACCAGGCATTTGGCAAACTGTAAATGAATGAAAGAGAACATAATGTTGACTATCGAGTCCTACCCAGCAGGCACTAGCATAAGGTCAGTTAGCAAATCCTTCCATTTTGACTGAAACAACAAATAGAAAAGTAAAGTAAATAACAAAGGAGACATATCAAACAATGAATTTTTATTCACAAAACACAAGGGATGCCATGATGTTACAACATACTTGTTCAGTTCCTCTAAAGGCAACAACCAACCTTCTTCGTGAACAATCACGCCAAATGGCAACCTTCAGAGATTTTAACTTGAGACAACCAACCAACAAGGAAACAGCAAAACTCTTAATAGTACAACAATATCTCACCTGGGTATCTGTTGAAACATTGTCGAGAAAACATATCTTCTCAAAGTCTGATTTTATAAAACTGTTACGCCCCAATGAAGTGGCAAGCATAGCCCATGCCTCCATGGCAGTCTCTGCACTCTCAAACAGTCGTTGCCTATCCTCTGCTTTCTGTGCATCAGTGAACACTTCAGTAGATACAGCATCATCATCATTATCTGTATAATCAGAAGCACATTGTTCCTCTTTGACCGAATCTTCTTTATTACTTCCATCATCCACCATTACTGACTCCTTGTCTTGTGGTGATAAGCTTCTAGAAAGAAGCATCAAAGCTCCTAGTATATTCTCAGTTTGAGATAATACATCCCGAGAAACTTTACTAACGTCTGGAAAGGGAGCCTGCACCTCCTCTTTAGGCAAGTTCTCTTTAATTGGAATAGTGCCATCTTCTTTGTCAACATCGATTGCATCTTTAGGAGTTGTTTCATGGCCTTCACTGATTGATGCATCTACTGTTGCTAGTCCAGATTCTAAATATTCCTTTTCAGCGATTTCACTTGATTTTAAGCCAAGTGAACTCAATAGGTCAAATCCATCCAATTGCTTGACCTCAGGAAGAGAAAATCCAAAATTTTGGAGAACATTTTGGTTGAGTACACTGGTGAAAGCTTTCCAGAAGTATTCATCTGTTTCCTTCATATTTGGCGAGCTGCTTCCTTCAGTGTTCACAACTGTAGCAGTAGATTCAGCTTCACTGCAACAATCTGAATCATCTCCAGAAGCTTTTGAATCCATCTTGTACTGTTCAAGTTCATTTGATCCAGCCGAGTTATCTACAGATTGTTCAGCCCTTTTAGGGGCCTCAGCTCTAATATCCAAAGATGGTGGCTTTGGAAGATATGTGTAAGTGAAAGAACTTAGTTGCCCAAATGCAGATTGCACAAACTGACTTGCATTTATACTTTCAGATCCAAGGACCGTTCTAAGAGCAGATCCTAGGCTGCTCTTCACAAGAAAGTCAGACACAAAAGGTATTCTCCACCATTGTTTTTCACGCTCAATGTCATCATAACTCTTATACCTGACCTGATATGTTATACTTAGAGCTTAGATTAACAATTATAACAAAATAAAGCCTACAGTTTCGTCAAAGCATGAAACCATTGATATTGATGCAACATAACAGGTGGCTGTCAATATATCATCAGAACTGTTTTTTGCTAGGGAAACCGCGACATATATTGCATAGCATCACATGTGAGCAACATGGTCATTTTACTTACAACTATAGCACAAAGGATTTCCCACTTATTAAGATTGTGCAAGGGGAAGATGCTAACTACTCCATATATGTACAACTTGCTGTGCTGTGCAAAGGGAGTAAGATTCTTGTCATTAGAAAGGTACTTAGTTTTTCTCTCTGAGAGGTCACAATTAGTTCACTACATGCACCTTTGCTAGAGTATACTGGTGCCAAAAAAAAAAGAAGAGGTAAGGATTTACCTCCACATCAATAGTCCCACCACCACCTAGGCCTTCTAATTCAACCGTAACGTTGTGATTACTTCCTATAAAGTTGGAAGAACATTGTAAGTTTCTCCCAAGAGTAAGCCTTAAAATGAATCATATTAAAGATCCTGGAAAAGGTTGGGAGGGCATTGTAAGTTTCTCCCAAGGGCAAGTCATAAAATAAATTCATATTAAATATTATCTGAAAAGATAAAGCCTGACTGCTAATATCAATAATTCTCACATGCGAGTTCTTCATAATAAGAAATGAACTATGACACCAGAAATGACGTGGATATGAGTAAATAGTCATTGTTAATACATGGAACTAGTTTTAATACAAAGGTGGGAGGAGAAATGAGTAAACTAGTCAGTGTAATTTTTTTTCCCACAGGAAGGTTCATAAATCACAAGTACTTTAAATCGGCAAAATTACATGCAACTGAGAAACATGTACTCCCTCCGTCCCATAATATAAGGGATTTTGGGTGGATGTGACACATCCTAGTACAATGAATGTGTCACATCCACCCAAAATCCTTTATATTATGGGACGGAGGGAGTAAGTGCGCAACTGTGAGTTGACACCAAGTCCCCAACAAATAAGATATGAACCGCTTGATATCAGAAATGCTGGGGGCATGTTACATATTCAAAATTCGTTTTGCTAAATCAAGTTTGTTCTAGAACATCGTTCTGTTAGTTTTTGATTAATCAGTACTCTGAAAGCATCACTAATGAAAAGAGAAGTGCTCATTTCTCATATGCCATCATATATAAAAGTGATTAGCTCCTATGGTTTCTGACCAATTCCAGAATGTTCCATATGTATTTTGGCCATGATTCTTTATGGAGAATTTCCTGCTCAGAATTAAAAGAAACCAGCATCCATGCCATCACAGAAATAGGTTCCAAGCTCTTTCTATAACAAAAGGAAATGTCAAACAGCGTGCATTTTTATTTTTTACGTCAATAAAAATAGTTACCATCACAAAGCGATTCAAGGCACAATCCAGCATTTCCCATGCGTTTGTGTGGGGTAACAAGGTTTGCATCCCAAGCAGCAACCTGTTGAGGAAAATGATTAAACAAATAATCATTTACTGATACTGTATGTACCAATATGTAATAAAGTTGATAAAAAAGGAAGAGTAATGCTGCACAGAATTGCATGCTATTATTACTATGATTTGCGAGGCAGCTTACCATAACTTGCTAGAATGATACGTCTAGTTTGCTTATGTATGTCCTGTTAACTAAATAAAACTACTTGCCGTGTCCTCTAGAACCATATTGAGTCATATATGTTTATTTCGATTTGTCAAGATGTCTGGCATTAATATTGTTCATTCAGCTTAAGCTTTTTTCAGAGGTTGACATGCCAAATTTCTCAAATGGTTTTATTTAAAATAGTAATCTCAGTGATCCACTCCTAATGAACAAGATTCTCGAAGAGCAATAGCCACTTCCAAGATGCAGAGTTCTACGAATTATAAAACAAGAATAATAATCAAATATGAGCATATAAGATATGTAGTGTGTCCCTTCAGTTGGTTTGCTGAGAGAGGCCATAATAATAGGGCTAGGAGCCTAGGACAACAAGTTATGAAGACATGGTATGTAGAATGATACACCCTAAGACTCTAATCTCTAGTGTTTATTATTATACTTGTACGAAAATGAGCTTGCTCATACCTGTAGTAGATTTTCTCGAGATAAACTAATGTTAAATGTGAATTCTTCATTCCATGTTGGTTCCTTCGTCCTACGTTGATCAATTACTGAAATCACAATCTGCATCAATGATGGAGAAAAATAACATCTTCAAGCATATCAAATATTGCTTAGAGAAATTAAACCATTAGTTGGCAAAATATTCCAAAATGTGTGAAAAAAAAACAGCAATATCCTCCTCCGCCAAGACCCCAGCATACATAGAAAAGGGAAAAGGTTACTCACGCCCATTTAATATTGCTTTTTGCAGTTTGACCATTCAGTTGTAGAACTACGTAAGGGTCACTTGTGCCCTGCAATTGAAATGGTTAGAGAAAACGAAGTTGTTAATAAACTGGAGGAAGAGGTCTGCTTAACAGTAGTTAGATTGGGCAAGCTCGACCCTATATTGCAACATGCAGGTTAAATCATTGGGTGTTTGCCTGTTTGGGCTACATTCATAATCCGGGATTATTATGAGAAGCAATGGGTTTTTAGATAAGTTCAGATATCCCTTAATTGAAGTACATTTAACTCTCATCTAAGAAAAGGTAAATTTAACTCATATAAGTATGACCTGCAGAGATTTATTTTGTTTCACCTATAGATCAACAAGAAGTCGGTAATAACTTAAGTAGGATAATAAATGGTTTTTCGCCAACAAATACATCACCGTACCCAAGGATCCATCACGGGAAGATTTACGCCTTTCTTCAGCCTCACAACCAATTGGCCATCATATACTTCACGGAGAAATGAACTGCAATACATAGGCACGGTACAATTCACAAAATTTACAGTGATGACCATATCAATGCGTTCAGAATTCCATTCCCTTTCCAGTTTAGCACCACAGCGGCTAGGGAGATATTTCTATCAAAATTAACAAATTAATAATAAAAAAAAGAAGGATAAGCGCACAACTCACTCAGATAGGAACACCGTCTGACATTCAGCCGCATCAATCTCGCGCCAGCCCACATCCTCCTGCCAAACACGAAGAACAATTCTCCAAATGACTCGCGAATTTACAAGGACTAATGAAGCTAACCTTAAGGATGAGGGTGAGGTGAACGGGTGAAGCAGGAGGGGCTCACGGGTGGGCTGGTGTAGGCCTCGAACGCGAACCCGGCGAGCACGACGGCGAGGTTGAGATCGAACGGCGGCCGCGGCGGGTCCTCCCCGACCAAACCCTCCCCGGCGGCGCTCTCCGACCCGGGCTTCACGACGGACTGCCCGGCGCACCTCGCCCTCAACCCCGCCCACCTCCTCCGCCTCCCCCTCCTCGCGCCCGGCCACCACCGCGCCGCCGCCCTATAGCTCGACGCCGACGACGGCGAGCGCCCACGCCCGGAGACGGAGGCGGCCGCGAGCGGCGGCGGCGGCGCCATGCGGCACGCGCATGTCGCGGGAGCAGCGAAAGCCATGACACTTCTTCGATTCGAGGAGGCGCTTCCAGTCGAGGTCGACCTGCGTGTGGTGTTGATAAAGAGGGGAGAAAGGCGCGCCAGTTACCACGTCTGCACTAGATGGTTCGAGTGCCCGGTCTCTGACCAGTGGGCCCCAGCACCCTGTGGCCCGTCTTTTCTCAGGTTCCCAACCCTCTCCCTCACGCGCACGTTTTTTCAAACTATTACTTAAAAAAATTATATTGAACCTTTTTTAAAATAATAGCTACTCCGTTTTTCGTGTACAGAGGCATGTGTTCCTAAACAAACCTAAAGAGTGTTTAAGAGAATATAGGAGAATACTACTACGTCCCATTTTAAACGTAATCATGAGTTTCTATATCCAACTTTTCATCCGTCTTGTTTAAAAATCTTTTAAAAAATAAAAAAAACATAAGTCACCATAAAAATATTATTCATATTTTATCATTTAATAACAACAAAAATATTAATCATAAAAATGATTTAAATAAAACGAACGACCAAAAATCAGTGTGTTTTCATCTCAATCTTCCGCTGCCGAACAGATGGATTGAGACGAAAACAAACTAGCTAGTTGAGTAGTTAAGGCACTTTTTTTTGTTGTGCTATCCATTTGTTCATGTACATGGCAACATGCTCTAATGTCTTGTTTGATACTGCCTAGACTAATGCTAAATTCTAGTGCAATGAATGTTGCAAAATGCCATAATGATATGATGATTAGTGCGTTCATCCACTACATGGAAAAAATGAGGGCCAGACCAGGGGTGGTGTGGTGATTGTTGTTCAGAGCATGGCATCAATCATATCAAAATCCTATCATCATCAAATGAGCAGAAAACTATACAGTTAACTGAAGAACATGACAAGAAATGGAAGGCAATCTGCAATTCTGCAGACAACATCTGATCATCATCATCATCACTCAGCTTTAGCTACTACATCCAGTAGCCCTCCATGGAGCAATCTTCGGAAGGATGGCCGCCATGCTCGCTCATGCTTCCCCTCAGCCTGTAGAAGTTCCTCCCCCTGCTGGCCCTCAGCGGGCCGGACCAGTCGTACGCCGCCAGCGACTCGATCTTGTCCAGCACCAGGCTCGACGTCGACCGCTGCCGCCGCGCCGACGCCGACGACGTCCCCGCCGCCCCGTCGGCCGGGTCCGAGCTGTAGTCCATCGTCGTCGGGCGGGCCGGAGCCCGCGGGAACGCCAGCCTGCGCGACGCCGGCGGCGGCGTCGCGGCGAAGTCGTGGCTCCACGAGCGGTTGTTCCACGGCGACGACGCCTCCTCGTCCTCGTACTCCTCGCCGCCGCCGCCGCCGAACGAGCCGCTGGTGCAGGTGTCGTCGTTGTTGCCGTTGTAGATGAGCTTCAGGGCCTGCACGACCTCGCCCATGAACGGCCGGTGCGACGCCTCGACGTGCACGCACATGGACGCGATGGCCGCCGCCTTGGCCAGCTTCTCGAAGCCGTAGCTCGCCGCCGGCATCGACGGGTCGACCAGCTGCTGGAGGCCGTCCCGGTCGGTGAGGAGGGGGCGCGCCCAGGTGACGAGGTTCTCCGACCCCGGCGGCTGCGTCATGTCCACCGGCTTCCTCCCCGAGAGGAGCTCCAGCAGCACGACACCGTAGCTGTACACGTCGCTTTTCACCAGGAGATGCCCGGTCATCGCATACTCCGGGGCAACGTACCTGAAGACCATGACAAAAAGAAATCGATCAAAAGTTAAACTTTCTTTTCAGCTTATTATTCACAATATCATCGCCGTTAATTATTTGCTAATACGATTTCTCAGAAAGCTTTCGTCTATTGTATTGTTTAGATCACAGCTTTATTAATTATTAATTTATTTATTGAAATATTTAATTTATCACTACAATCAAGATTTGTAAAATCAAATGTGTTTTTGATTGTTATTCTGTGATGAACAATTGGCATTGACGTTTATTGGTTTTGATATTTGAAATTTATTTACGAAGTGGTTTTGAAGATGATTGGATTTCACAGGTGATCTGCTGTGTTTTGGGTCCGGTCAGACCGGGCAGTGTGTGCCGGTCGGACCGGTGATGATTGAGCAGTCAGACCGGCTAGCCCGCAGTCTGGCCGGCCGACACTGTGTCGGTTTTAGTTTGTTTGTTTGGATATCCGTGATTGTTTCATGGTTATGGCTTCTAGAAGGATACTATGCGTATGTAATACTGTTGTTTGCTACTAATGAGTCAAGTTGGGGATAGCTTGGTCTCGGAATATGGTTTCTTTGTTTGTTTCATGTGTAGGTGACTCGATGCCTCGAGAGAGTCAAGTTGGACCGGGAGTCGACTTGGTGGTAAGGCGATGTCCGTGGTGGTCAGATATCATGCGAGATACTAAGGCTAGAGTTCAATGCACGTGGTTGGTAAAGATTCCATATGGCATACGATGGAGGTATTGTGTGCGTATGGGATGCGGAGTCGAATTTGAAAGGAGTCCAAATTTGGTATGATTGGTTATGTAAAGTTTGTTTCTTGTACTAGAGGGTTTCCTAAGGTGATTAGGACTTCTAGTATGAATTTGGTTCGTGGCTTTAGGCTGCCTACCTTGGGTATAAATAGAGAGGGAGTGTGAGGTTTCCCGGTATCGCTGTTGAGAGCAATTGAGTTGATAGTTTAGTTAGGGTTTCGAGTTTAGTCGAAATTTTTGTAAGGAGTGTTGTTGGTGCACTTTGTAAACACAGAGGGAAGCAATAAAGTTGTCATCTATTTTAAGAGTTCTTCGATTTGTGTTTCATCAGGTTCGGCGGTCTAACCGACGACATAGCGACGGTCAGACCGACGGAGGAGAGGCAGTCAGACCTGCTACGACTTCAGGCGCGGCAGGCGATCTTCAGGCTTTTGAACCGGGCGATCAACACTGGTCAGACCAGCGGCACAAGCGCGGTCAGACCGGCGGATCAACCTCGTTCAGTCCGATCTACATCGAATTTGAGGGTAACTTTTATTTCCGCTAAAAGTTTGGGTTTTGGGGTATACCAACCATTCACCCCCGCCCCCCCTCTGGTTGGCTTAGTTCTTGTGATTCGATCCTACAAGATTGATAATCTACTGTGGTGTACTAGTGTATGACTAAATTATCTTCTTCTTTTTCTCCTTACAAATTTAGTGTGTTTTGGGGTGATATAATAGCCACAGGTGAATATGGTAAGAATGCGACTTACCCAAAAGTCCCCATGACCTGAGTAGAAATATGGTCCATTCCTTCTGAGGCTTCCTTTGCCAACCCGAAATCCGCAACCTTGGGAGTGAAATCATTTTCCAAAAGAACGTTGCTGGCCTTGAAATCACGGTGTATAACATGGGGATTGGCATCCTCATGTAGGTAGGCCAGACCCCTTGCTGCACCAAGGGCTATTTTCATTCTAGTATCAAAATCAAGTGGGCCGTATATTTTATCAGAACCTGAAACATCAAAACAGAAGTAAATATGCAGATCACAACAATGTATAATGAAGCATAGGAAAGTGCTGAAAATGTACCAAAGATTCTTATATGCCAATGGTGTAGACTAAATAAGTGTACATACCGTGCAGATGAGACTCCACACTTCCGTTTGGAACAAGCTCAAACACCAAGCACCTTGTGCTCCGTTCAATGCATATACCGATCAGCTTGACAAGATTACGATGATGCAAACGACTTAGCATCTCAACCTCGGCAATAAACTCACGATCTCTGTTTTGATGTTTTCTTGTAAGCAATTTGACTGCAACATCAACTTCATCATCAATTGTACCTCGATAAACACGGCCATACCCTCCTTCACCTATTATTTTGTTGAAGCTGAAGTTTTCTGTGGCCTTTTCAAGCTCAGAAATAGAGAATGTCTTAACTGTAGGTGGGCATGTTGCAATTGTTGAAACAAAAGATGCCGTCGAGCTGGTCATACTGGAGAATGATGACCTCATACCTGAAACAGAAACAAGATGTTATACAAACAGCAAGGGAATTACACAGTCAAAAAGTAAGGTTTTACTATTCATGTTGAATCACACAAAAAAAGGGCCAAAATTGAACTTGCAAATTAACATTATCTGCATTCTCGAATAACTGATACTGGAACTATTTATTTTCAAACTTTGACCACTTCTTCCTTTAGCAAAAAATAAAATAAAATAAAATAAATACTTGAAAATATGTTATATTGTCAAAGTGTGTGGCATCACAAGTATAAACATACAAATTTCATTCATCGTAATCTCATAGTTTAAAAGTAATTTGTGATCAAAGTGAGATGCCAATAGTCAACAGTTCAACAGTATTAGTTATTCGAGAACAGAGGGTGTCTAAATGCAAAATGGATATAACAGGACATATTATAACGGTAGCATATGTACCAGGACTGCCAAAAGTTACCTGTTTTTCTTGTGGCTGACGAATTCGAAACACGACCAGTGCCACGAGACTTTTCAAATCCTTTATATTTCCATATGATGCAAATGCCAAAGCTCATTAATACAAGCACAACAGCTGATAATGCAATTATGGCAACACTTTTAGAGTTAATCTTCTGATGTCTTCTATTGTGTACATTTGCACTAAAGGGGTATTGGCTACTGCTTATTGGGCCCAAGGATCCTGGAACACTAGGGACCAAAGAAGGCAGGCCTGCAAAATTTCTATGATTACATACAGCAATACTGGGAATTATACTATTGAAGTTGATGTCAACAAAAAAATATGTCACTCACCAGGATAATGAACATATATTACGTTATAATCACCAAATATGGACGAGTTTATTGGCACCTTCTTTTGCAAAAATCTGTTGCTAGTCAGTAAGGCTGAAGTCCTATCAAACTTCTGACCTAGTGGCACCAAATCAACGGTGACAGTAGTTTTTTCAGGATCTTGAAGACTACTCCCAGCACCCATTATCCGAACTTGACTCTGTTTCAGAAATGTTCCTGCTGCAATCTCAATTTCTAACTCATCAATTCTTGGAAACAACTGATATGGTGCTACTACAAGATCAAGTTGAATTTGCATGGGATATACGCAGCCACAGGGGGAGCCGATTGGAGTAGATGTGAGTGGAGCAGTACAGGAAATCCCACTGCAATCTGTTACATTGCAGGCACAAACGCGTCTATTATTGTTGTGTCCTTCAGTGCTAACAATACTAAGATTTGCAATCTCAATTGGTCAGTAGAGAAAAGTAGAACCTTGTCTTTCTGATGATGATGGTGGTGGTAGTGGTGGGGCAACATGAGGCCTTTTCCTGTGATGCCTAGGCACTGGGTGTCTAATACCAGGTCCTGAGAACCAAAATGATCGACAAAATTACAAGACGGTTCAAGACAACAAGAAAATCATTGAATGTAAGAATACTGATGAAATAAATATTTAAGTTTGCAGAACATGTTACACCTGAATTACTATTTAAGTGTACAAATTTCAACAGTATTTCTACTTACGGTGAGTTTCAGGGGCTGGAGCTGGAGCTGGAGCTGGAGCAGGGGCAGGAAGAGAATGCCGATGTGCTCTACTCCATAACCCAAGTAAGTACGACGCGATAGTTGTTGAGCTTGCCGTTCCCAGTGGCACTGCAAGGATATTGACCCAAAAAAAATGCTGTTCATATGATACATAACATCTGTATACTCTTAACTATTACTTCAGCATAACTACAATGAACATATGTTTCATGGAGTGGAAACTGGAATACTAATGCAGTAACTCACACGGTTTTGCACGCCACTGTATATATTTTTTTTAGATAATGGAATTCATTCCGGCCTTTGTTTTGAAGAAACTACAGCCAAATATTACAGATAATGCAGGACGAATGAGTGCGAATTACTACAAAATTACAGTTTGATTAAAAACAAGAAAATTACTATAGATGAGCAATGCAGAGTGCAACGAAAACTATGTGTCTGCAAGATTGCAAGACGAGAACAGAACAGCAGGAACCTCGCCAAAAACCTTGACCACTAATCGAGCATTGCACCAAAAGCTTGTTAACTTTTTCGGTTCAATACAACAGAAAGGCAAATGCACACCAACCACTACAGCTGGTGCAGTACTGAAACGCGGTGGGTTTAAGCCGGCAAATCAAGCGTAGTAAAAGCCCACCGAAAATCGCTGCGGGCAGCGCCAATGCAGCAAATTTTTAACAACAGATTTGCATAAAAATTCCAAACTTTCTCAGACTCGGCATGGGTTGATTCAAGAAAGGGAAAGAGAGGAGAATCAAAAGGAGAAAATTGACGGGAATCTACGCCATGTCCACGCCTACTGGATTCAGATGCCGATGCGCTCGGACGAATCACAGGAGGAACAGCTCCATGAAGCAAAGGCGAAACCATCTTTCCACAACCCCTGGGGAACGTGCCACGCAAGCCAGCCAGCCATGACCGCTCTTCTTCCAGGCCGGCGATCCCATTGCAACGAAACAAACCAGACAACAATTCCACTCCGCATTGCAACCTCAAACCCCGAAGAAATCGCCCGCCCGGCCGGGCAAGAAGAACAGCGGGTAGAAAGAAAAAAAAAAGAAAAGAAACACACAATCTTGAAGGAACATACCATACACGGCGAGAGCGAGGAGGAGCAGCGCCGCTCGCCGCGGCGGCATCTCGGTGCCCTGGGTCCGGAGTGGGCGGGACGGGGCGGGGCTCAAGGCGCGGCCATGTGGGGCCCGACGGGGGGATCCCGGTCCGCGCCTTCTTCCTTCTTCTTCCTCGCGCTCTCTGCTTGGCGAGGGAGCTGAGGCTGCTGGCTGCTGTACTGCTGTGCCTTTCTTCCAAGGTTTTTTTTTTTACTTCTTCTTCTCTTTTTTGGTTCCTTGTATTGAAGTGATGACGCTGGTCCCGAGGAGGGAGCATTAATTGGCGGGTGGGAGATACATCTGGGTCTTTGAAACCTTTTTCTCCCAAGTGTGTCTTCGGGTTATTTTTTGTTTCTGTATTTTTTTTTCCTTCATCCGTGCATAACATGTATTTTTCTCCAAGTGTACTGTAGTATACTTCGGGAAGTAACTGACAGTAACATGTGTCGTGTGAGTGATGCACCCTTTTCACACAAAATTTTCCTTTTCTTGCTTTGTACAGTATGTTTCCATTTCGTGCTGCTATCTGTGTTGTGTTATCAAGCCAAATACTCCCTCCGTTTTTTAATAGATGACGCCGTTGATTTTTTCTTATATATTTAATCATTCGTCTTATTCAAAACTAGCATGATGGCCCACGCAGATTGCACGGCTAGCATCATTATATTTTCTCTCATATAATAGCATATATGTTTTCTCATTATATTATTAAAATATATTACAATGATAACATAATTTTAAATTTTACAATAACTTTACGAAACTATTAATGTTTAATATTCATATTGTATTTTATATACGTGTTAGTTATTAATTATTTTTAATATCAAATTTTAGTTATTTGTAAATTATATATATTTCTATATGGACTCTAGACTCGTCTTTTAATATATTTTTTAATTCTGAATTTTTATTATTTCTAATTGTATTCCTATGTGGACTGTAAACTCATTTTTCAATATTCTTTAATTTTTAATTTCAAATTTCAGTTACTTCTAAATTGTATTCCTATATTGTTTTTAAACTCTTCTTCCCATGTTTTTCTTAATTTTGAATTTTAGTTATTTGTAAAATGTATTTTTATATGGACTCTAAACACTACTTTTCATTTTATTATGTTTATTCTGAATTTTAGTTAGTTTTAAATTCCTATATGGACTCTAGACTCTACTTCTAATATTCCTTTTTTTTTAATTCCGAATTTCTATTTTTTTTCTTAATTGTATTTCTATATGAACTCTATACTCTACTTCTAATATTCCTTATTTTTAATTCTGAATTTCTATTATTTCCTAATTGTATTTCTATATGGACTCTGTCGGTGACATGGGGCCGGGGGTATCGTGACTAGAGGCTTGGGTAGCCGCGGTCACCCACGTGGCCTGACCCCCTCGGGGGGGTCGGGCCCGAAGGTGACGTGGCCACCCCTCCCTCTGTCTCCCCGAGGGGTCGGGCCGCTCCCGTTTCGGCCCCGAGGGCTGGGGCGCCCCCGTTTCGGCCCCGAGGGCTGGGGCGCCCCGACCCCCTGTGGTTTTGGCGCCACGTGTGTGGGTTAGGTGAGCACAGCGGGGCTCACTAACCGCATTTATAGCAGGTTGGACGAGCGTGCCACGCCGCATTTAATGCGGCGCAGCGCACGCTTATCCGGTCCGTGACCGGTCGCGGTGTGTGACCGGTCACAGACCGGTCAGATCGCGGGTTAGGTGGCAACAGGCGGCCTGTCACACGCCTCGCCCCGTCCCGTCGGAATGATGAGAGTTTCCTGGCTCTCGTCCCTAGCCGGAGCCGGCGTGCTAACTCCTGGAGTTGGTATGTTAGTCCCGGTCAGATCCATTCCAGACTTCAGCGCAAGTATGGCAATGAAGTCGCTGGCCATTAAATGAAGGTTGAAAGGGGCGTCCACCGGAAAAGCAGGCGAGCAGGGCAGGAGGCGTGTGCTCTGCTTGTCAGAGGTCACTTCCGGCTGTAGACTAGCCCTCATTGTAAAAAGCATGTTTCCCTTCTTAGGCAGAGAGAGGCCCATGTGGTGACCCCTGACCAGATAAAAAGGAGGCCCAGGCCTAGGAGAAAGGGGGGTTTTGGGACTCTGGGGAAGGGGTTCTAGAGCCTGAACTCACTCTCGCTCTCCGGTTCTTTGTATTCCTTCACATACAGATCCACCAGAACACAGGAGTAGGGTGTTACGCTTCTCAGCGGCCCGAACTTGTCTACGTCGCCCGTGTCTTGTGCACTTCCTCTCCCGCTGACGTTCCTCAGATCGAGAGCGAAGAACCTCACTTAGCGCCCCCGGCCGAACCGGCAAAGGGGGGCCTGCGCGGTCTCCCGGTGAGGAGCCCCACGCTCCGTCAGACTCTATACTCTACTTCTAATATTCCTTATTTTTAATTCCGAATTTCAGTTATTTCATAATTGTATTTCTATATATATGAACTCTAGTCTCCTCTTCTAATATTCCTTATTTTTAATTCCGAATTTCAGTTATTTCATAATTGTATTTCTATATGGACTCTAGTCTCCTCTTCTAATATTCCTTATTTTTTAATTCCGAATTTCAACTATTTCTAAATTGTATTTCTATATGGACTCTAGTCTCCTATTCTAATATTACTTATTTTTTAATTCCGAATTTCAGCTATTTCTAAATTGTATTTCTATATGAACTATGTTTTTTCTTTTTCTCCGATTAATGTAAGAATTTGTAGGACATGAGAGCGAACGTGGAGGCTCTTTTTTCTATTCCTTTAATAATATAATAGATTTTTATACAAATGTATAAGATATAAATCACACTTAAAGTATGAGTGATAAAATAACTCATAACAAAATAAATTATAATTACATAAATTTTTGAATAAGACGAATGGTCAAACATGTAAGAAAAAGTCAACGGCCGTTATCTATTAAAAAAATGGAGGTAGTAGATTGTTGATGGCTACTCCACGTGACATTTTCGCGGTGATGAGACCCCTCTGAGTCAATGACTAAAGTGCGGTAAATCATGAAATCCCCTAAACACTACTTGCAGTATGCAGGAACAAAATTGATCACTCCATGTTGTAGCCCACATTGCAACGTTCATATTAAAATTCGTTTGACTTTTTATAGTTAAATATGTTTAAGTTTAACTGAGTTTGTAGATAAATACTTAATAGAGTATAGTGGTGCTTTCAACACAAAATAAATATATTATTAAAACATATTCAATGGTAGATTTAATAAAAAAAACTAGTTTCATATTTTAGATGTTAATTTTTTCTATAGAGTTGATCAAACTTAACACATTTTGACTGAGAAAAAGTCAAACGACTTGTAACATGGAACGGAGGGAGTGGTAGGGAGTTATATTTTGCTATTTGACTGCATATATTTCAAAAAGGGGTCTATTTTAAGGAAGTGATTTTTCTTTGTATAATTTTAAAAGAGTATTGATGTACAATTACTTCAAAAAAGATACGAGTCTTTGAGTTGTCATAGGGTGTTGACGATGGGTGCATGTCAACCCGTACTTAACGGTTCTACTCCCTCCGTCCCAAAAATATAATAACCTTGTACTAGATAGGGGCACATTCTAGTACAACAAATCTAGTATGTGTCCCATCCAGTACAAGATTGCTAAATTTTAGGACAGAGGGAGCACTTCAACTAAAACTAGTAAATTATTTTGAACTCTACAACTAAAACTTACTTTTCTGATTTCATAATCTTGATGGTTTGATCAATAACACGGTGCTCAAAACATATCTTTAACAGTATTTTTCTATTATGATATTAAAAAATGAATATTTAACTTTATTAAAAAAATTAAGACTAATCCATATATCAGGTTCTAGTGTTTTTAAACTGAATAATTTAAAAGTAATTAATATTTTAAGTTTAATTTATTTGATTTTTAACCTTGCTGAAAACGTGAATCAGGTAACCCGAGAAATGGGCCAATCGTTACTAGCGCAAACTGCAGAACTGCAGACGCTGTGTGTGACGGGCTGACGACTGGGTGACGCCACACGGTGGCCGTAGAGCAAAGATTACGTACAAGCTTTCACGGGAGACAAACAAAATTCAGCGGTGCCGCCCGTGCTGGCAGTCAGGGCAGTGGCAACTAAAATTCCATCGTGCCATCCAGCCGGCTGCCCGGCCGATGCATACACCGCAGACCAGAGAGGAGTAAGCTTAAAGGAAGAGCATGAAAATCCCCAGGCCCACCACCTCATCCATTGGCACAAAGCTGGTAAAAAGGGCAATAAATTTTGATCATCTTTCGGTTACACCAAAACATAGCCACATTACTAGTAGGAGTAGATATGAGTATATCTACAACAAAGGCTGTGTTTAGTTTCTAAAATTGGAGAGAAGTTTAGGAAAAGTTGATAGTTTGGAAAAAAAAAGTTTGAGAATTTATATGTGTAGAAAAATTTTAGATGTGACGTGATGTGATGGAAAATTAGAAGTTTGGTGTGAACTAAACAGGGCCAAAGTAGAGTACTACTACTCCGAAGTTAGCATGAACATGAACTGTGAGCATAAATGTTATTCTGATGTTCACTTGACCTACGACTAGTTATGACTTTTGTGACCCTACATTGGTCGAATTCCACAACTGCCATCTCTTCTTAACTCTGGATTTCACCATGCTGCTTAACACTTCAATAACTTCTGAAATTCTGAATCTCCATCTTCCGTTCCCCTTTCTTAGACAGATCGCCTTCTTAACTCTGAATTTCACCGTGCTGTACTCTGGTCTCTGAGTTGCCTTCTTCTATTCTCCCTGCTTTTCTCTTAGACAGATCGGCAACATGACTACATGTCGAGGAACACACCGGCAACCTGAGTGAATGACAGGCCAAGAAAAGCATTACGCGTCACCGTCACCGGTTATTGCCGCTAGTGACCTGTACTGTGCTGCCTGTGCATTTGTACGTAGCCAGTAGCCTCGTCCCTTAGGGTGTGTTTAGTTCACGCTAAAATTAAAAGTTTGGTTGAAATTAAAATGATGTGACGAAAAAAATTAGAAGTTTATGTGTGTAGAAAAGTTTTAATGTGATGCAAAAGTTGAAAGTTTGAAGAAAAAAATTTGAAACTAAACTCGGCCTTAACTGAAATGCAGGAGATAATAGAGCTTGAGTATATATGCAACTACCGCCGTCGACCGCTCCGATATCTCGTCTGCGACAAAGGCTGTGTTTAGTTTCACGTTAAAATTGAAAGTTTGACTAAAATTGAAAATTTAAAAAAAAAGTTAGAAGTTTTTATGTGTGTAGAAAAATTTTGATGCGATAAAAAGGTTAAATGTTTAAAGAAAAAGTTAGGAAATAAACTCAGCCAAAGCAAGCAATTCAATAGAAAAACAAGGAAAGAAAGGAAGCAATCGACGATCAAAGGCGTTGCGTCGTCGATGGGATGGTTGGATTACAAGGCAGGAAATGCGTGTTTTTTTTTTTTGGTTCGTCTTCACTTCTTCCTCGGTCCATCTCGCCGCCCGCGGATGCGGATTAAATTGCAAGTGGGACACGGGCGGTGGCCGCGCTGCTCGCGATCAGGACAAAAGGCAATTTCCAGTGGATTTGTACGGCAGCAAGCTAGATTTGCTTGCCTACGGGGATGCGGATAATTCACAGCTTATGTTTCTGTCGAATTTGGGCGAGGTAGCTGTTATTCAAGAAAAAAAAGGAACAGATGTTCAGATATCAGGGCTGTGTTTAGATCCAAACTTTTAACTTTTTTTCATCACATCAACATGTCATACACACATAATTTTTCAATCACATCGTACCAATTTCAACTCAAACTTCTAACTTTAGAAGCAACTAAACACAGCCCAGAATAGGAATCAGGTCATTGCCTATCGTCCATAAATTTTCGCTTTCGATAAAGTGTTTCTAGATCGTTCGTTGTGCCAACCAACTTCTGATAAAGTGCCATCCCATGGTACAAGGTGCCAATCAGTCAGTTTCGGATGGTTTCCGGCAGTGCGATCCCTAGTTAAACGCGTCGCATCATCGTCATGATTTCTTGAGAGGATCGAAAACAATTTTGGCTTTACGCATTGAACTCTGAACCTCCGAGAGCACTTCAACCGCAACAAAATCACCAAACGATCGATCGTTCATCACCGGGTTGGATTGATCATCATTTGATACACTAATATGGAATCATTCTCCTACTACCGTTTACCAGTAGCGAGTGGATTAAACGGCCAGATCAAGATGGCCAGCGCTGGGAGCTCAAGTACAAAACGCAGCGTCATGTGAGGCCTTAATTGCTGTAGGCCATCACACGCTTCTGTTGCCGTTTCGTTATGAAGTCATCTTGCATAGACACGAAGACCATGGCAGCGGTGAAAGATGCCACAAGTTTACCCACTGTAGCATCCCAGGCCAGCATGAATGCATGATATGTGAATCATCAGGATCAAAGTACAGTGGCTGTAGCAACTAGCAACTGCGACTTTTAGCGGTTGCTTTAGCCACCGTTGGATCTTGGTTGTATGGTGCAGATCTTGCTTGTACTGCTCATGAAAGTAGCCAACACTGCAAACATGTACCGTGGCAATTACTGTTTGTTTCCACTGTGGGCACAGATATCTCCTTTTATTTGCTCGATCCAATGCCTTAAGGTGCAGTTGCTATATGCCTGCATCAACCGTATCGATCTTGTATGTACTAGTACTCCGTATATATCTGTCTCTATATAGCAGACTAAGGGTCCGTTTACAAATCGCTTATATACAAAGCTGCCAAGAATTGAGCCTCAAATCAGCGTTTGCCGCTGGCGTGGCCCTTGCCGGGGCGTGACACGTCGTCCGGCCCTTCTCCGGAGCTGAATTTGGAGGCTGCGCGTTGCTTGCTTCCTCCGTCGTTGGATGCCCATCGTGCGTCCATGCCTGCCCGACGCTGATCATTTTGCAAAAAAGCCCTTAAACTAATTGATAATTTGGTTTTAGATCTCTGGTATACAGTTTCTACGTTCTACGTTATTACGTATAGGACCTCTAAAAAAGAAATATTCTAATCAAAGAAGCAAAAAACAGAAAATAGGACTGCGCTCGAAAACATAGAAACTAAGGGGGTTTTCTGCAACAACTTGCATCCCTATCCCGGTCCCTCACCCCACGAAACCCTAGCCGCCGCCGTTCCGTCACCTCTCTCTTCTCGCTCGCTCTCCCTAGACCACACCGCCGCATCCGCCTCCGCCTCCGACCACTCTTCTTGCACCCAGCCAAATCGCCGCACCTCCCCCTTGCCACCGCGAGGCCAGTTCCGGCGGAGGGTAGACCGTGCTCGCCGGATTCGGGTAGCCACGACCTCCTTGCCGGCGGATCCGGTCACCCGGAGGCAAGGGCAGGGCTAGCACATGAGGCTCATCGGCAGTGTCGCGGTAAGCTCCATGGGGAAATCTCTGCTCCCCACCCTCATCTTTCTTGTTGCTCTCCTTCCTCCCCCCCTCCCCCTCCCTCTCTCTCTCTCTTTGATCTAGAGACGGCGATAGATCCAGAGCCACTGGATCTGTTGATCTTGGCGGCGGCGATGTGGCACCAATCTCAGACATTTCGTGTCATCGGTGTTGCTGGCTTGAGCTCAATGGTGAGACGCTCAGTCAGCGAACGACGAGTACCTTGATTCGGCGGTTGCGCTGGAGCTCCATGACCAGGTGCTCTATCCGGTGCCGCACAGCTCGATTTGGCGTGTTGGGCGGTCAATGATGAGTTCGTCGATCCAGCGACGGTTCTCTCTGTCTGGTTGCACGCTACTCTGAGTATTCCAACACCATGCTAGATTTGGCGAGATGAGTAATACGGTGCTGCACGGAAGCTTGAAGCCGCTCCGACCGGCGGCGACGGCATCAAGCAAGAGTAGCATTGTATGCGGCCAAAAAAGGTCGTCTCCATGTGCCTCTCCACTGCCAAAGCCATACAGGATTCATGTGTATCTGAGTCCCTTGCTGTCGTTGCCGCCGTTATGAAGTCGTTCTCATATGTGACGGTGACCAGTGGGCAGCGGCACAGACAATGTTTCAGATGGCTGCCTGCTTGCCTCTTACCACCACTCCTTTCCTTTTTTGTCATGCTTTCTCTTTCTCCCTTTGTATGTGTGTTGCAGCCTTGCAGGTTCTCACTATCATGTATTTCTGAATTTGTGCAGGTTCTTAGCAAATAACTCAGATTTCCTTGAGCATATCATTTCAGGATAAAAAGCATAAGAGGTTGGCTTTCTGTTTTGTTTCAACCTCTGTTACTGATGTACTGCATTCTTTAGATTTGGTCTTTGTGAATCTTTAGTTACCGAGATTCATACGTTTGTTTGCTTCATTCTTTTAGGTGGTCGACCATCTATAGTTGCTTTGCCTCTCACACGAGCCACGAATGAAGCTCCACAGCTTAGCGGCAATTGTATACCAGTAGATGATGCTGGTTTTGTTTGCCATCAGTCATCTTGATTACCTTGGTGCACATGATATCATCTGTTTATTTGAAAGAAAACTAAATTTCGATTCGGTGACTACTTTACAGATGAACACTCGACATGAATGTGTTTACGCACAAAAAGTATTTGGCAATGCGCCAATGTGTTTTCCTGCAGTTTAAGATTGGCTAACAGTAGATACTGCTGGTTTTGTTTGCCATTAGACCTCTTGATTACCTTGGTGCACACAGATATAATCTGTTTAGATATAATCTGTTTATTTAAAAGGAAACTGAATCTTGATTTGGTGGTAGTGAACAGGTTGAACACTCAACATGAATGTTTATGCATAAAAAGTATTATGTCCTTTGTAGATTCTTATGGTTAGCCAGAGGCTATAATTAGAAGACGATGTCTTTGGGAAGGTAGGTAGGGCTGTTCAGCCCCAAACAATTGTTGATCAGCTATACTGATCCCTTTTTCATGTTGCAAAACCTTTTATCCTATGCCTTCTTTTTGCTCAATTGGCCTAACAACCAAGGGATAAATAGAAATTGCCACAGGATCTTCTTACAACGATGGAAAGTTCATTTGTAATAATCATTTTACTACCTCTATAGGAAAAACAAAACATAGAGCGAGCTTTTATAGCCTGAGGCTGTGTTTAGTTCAGCGCAAAGTTTGGATTTTGGTTGAAATTGGAGATGATGTGACTGAAAAGTTGTGTGTGTATGACAGGTTGATGTGATGGAAAAGGACTGAAGTTTGGATCCAAACTTTGGATCTAAACACAGCCTAAATGTGAAACTAATTCTGTGAGTAGATGAGGTTCTGTGATAATTTTCTTGAGCATAAGTGCACGTTTTGATGTTCTCTATCTGCATTTTCTTGTATGCTTTCCCCTTTTGTGCAGATAAATAACTGGCAAGATATTGGAATGCCTAAGAATGGTACAAAACTAAGAGCAAGAACTTTCGGTGCCAATACAACACTGCCAGCCTTTGGTCATGAAAACATTAGAGAATCAACTTAGACATCACCATGTACGTTGTTATTAGTACCATCAACATCCTAATTAACTCATCTTAATTAGCTGGCACTACAATACTATATTTTTCTGAGATATGTTATCTCTGTTCTACAGAATTTCATTATTGTTGTATAGTGACTGCTTTCATTTGTTGCAGATCTTACAGGTGGGCTTAAAGTATATAATAAACAAAGTGGAACAAGTCATGAATGTCATGCCTAATTGTTGTTGTTTTAACCAGGCAACAAACTCAGGAAATCGAGATGCACACTTCAAATGATCTGGTAGAAATCCCCACCTTAAATCCTTTATACTCTACAAACCACAACTATCTTTAATCATTTGTTGCCCTTATTTTGCTTATATCTACACATGGCCATGGTGCTTCATGTTTATTTTCTGAAAATGCCAACACCAAAGATTTTGAAGCACACAACTGACAAAGTGGACATGCTACAACAATTTCTACAACAAGAAGCACCATTTATAGAACAAAATGCAGTACACATGTATGTTGATTGCAGTGCTAGGAGTGCAGTAAATTTTTTTACATGGGTGTATTTTTTGCAATGATGGATGTTAATAATTGAGGGATATGATGAGTTAGATGATATAAACAAGGCACAATGAATGAATTGAGGCCATCCTGATGTTGGGTTGCACATGTATTATATTTTATTGGATTTCTCCTTTTATGCACTATGTACAATAGTTGGTCAGAGAGGAAAGGCTAGAGCTAGAAGACTTTTTCACTTTCTTTTTTTCCCTCTAAATATGGGCTGTTAGACAGAGTTTTACTAACTGATAGCAATAACAACACTCCTCTGAAAATAAGAGAGATGTGTTCCTCTGTTTGCTAGATGCTACTGGCCAGCCTAATGGTAATTGATTAATTCCATGCAGCACCATATTTATCTTGTATGTGACAGTTTATAATATACTGCATTGCATTTGTCCACAGTTTGATCATGCAGAGTTATAAAAAAGGTGGCGTGGTGGTCTTGCATAGGTGGGTTTCAAAGTTTCTATATCAGTTTTTCATTGATGTGGTTCAAGTGTTAAATTTCCTTGGGTTTTCTGCTCAGAATTGTAGATTTTCTTTACTGAAAACTGCAAGCGACAAGTTCTGTTCCATTGGTCAATATAATCTTTTTGGTGATATTCTGCAAGATGTTTAGTCAAATCCATGACTATTATATCCAGACTAGAACCGAATTTATACCACAAAATATAGTATTTATTGGTGAGGTCGTAGGGTTTATTTGTAATAAAATGTGTTCTTTTTTATTTTATGTATGTATGACTACCTGCCTTTGTTTAATTTATTTCTCGCATGCTTGTTTTCTATACATATCTAACTTTCATGTAACCTCTGTTTTTTTACCTGTCTTGTTGCCGGCAGCGCGGCAACGGCGCGCGCCACCCCTAGTGTTGATATAAGATGAAGGGAAAGAATCCAAATACTTCCTAAACTTTAGATGGAAGATCGTCTAACACCCTGAGCTTTGAAATCGGACATCCAACCCTCTAAAGTTTGAACTTTGTCATACTATCCACTTGCCCTTAAAATAGTTTTGGATGGTGGTTTTGCACATATCATAAGCTTAAACAAACAACTTTAAATAACTAATATAACATATTTATATATCATCAGTTGTCAGTCATCGATTTATCTTTATACAATCATATCTTACTATTATTGTGTAGGTGTTTGTTTTTCAGTGAGAGCTAATAAGAAGTAAAAAGAAATATTTAAGTCATATTTTTAAGTGTAAGCCATAATCAGAAAGTTTTACACGTCAATTCATTAGAAGATGAAATACTCATACTCTCCTACTAGAATGTTTTTAGAAAATACTCCTATTATAAGTTTTAGGGGGTGTTTAGATCAGGGGTGGTTTTAGCGTGTCACATCGGGTATTATATAGGGTGTCGCATGGAGTGTTCGGACACTAATAAAAAAGCTAATTATATAATCCGTCAGTAAACCACGAGACGAATTTATTAAGCCTAATTAATATATCATTAGTAAATGTTTATTGTAGCACTACATTGTCAAATCATGGAGCAATTAAGCTTAAAAGATTCGTCTCGCGAATTAGTCATAATCTATGTAATTAGTTATTTTTTAGCCTATATTTAATAATACGTACATGTGTTCAAACGTTCGATGTGACAGGGGGAAAGTCCTCGGAAAAAAACACACGGGGCATCAGTTGTACTGTCTGCAATAGGGACGCTCCAACACTGGTGATGAACACATCTTTGAGGACATTGAATTCCTGGACCTGGAGGCTGATGCAGAGCCAAGGTCTGACCTGTGGTTGGCAGATTTGCAGAAACGGTTGCCGAAGGAAGGGAACTTGCAAGAGGAGGAGGGATAGGTTTATGTGTGGAAAATGAGCATGGATAAGCAGCTGAGGACAAAGGCTGGAAGAGTACTGCCAACCATTTATGCTCATTGATACAGTCTGCTTGTACGAATTGAAGTTGCTCTGCAAGTTTCTGAAGAGAGCCAATAGCCCAAGACTACCACACACAAGAGCCAAACGCTGCTCTGAAAATTTCTGAAAGGAGATGACTAGTACAGCTGATTGACATACACAACAGGATGAAGATTAAGATTTTCGTGGCATATTTTTCAAACTGCTAAACGATGCGCTTCGTGCGAAAACTTTCTGTATGAAAGTTGCTATAAAATATCATATTAATCTATTTTTAAAGTTTGTAATAATTAAAACTCAATCAACATACGTTAATATCATCTCGTTTTTGCGTAAAAAAATTAATTTTCATCTTTATCTTTAAGAGAAAAGGAGAAAAGAACATCACCGCATAGTTCCAGGCCTATTATTGCACAGAGGTTGCTGTGCTTCTCAACGATTGCCAGAAGAGATCTTCAGAAAGACCCCAAAGTCTAGAAACTCTTCCAAACATAAGCTAAGGATGTGTTTTTATTTGAGTGTAAAGTTTTTAAAGTATATGAACGCACATTTAAAGTATTAAACGTAGACTAATAACAAAACAAATTACAAATTCCGTATGTAAACTGCGAGACGAATTTATTAAGTCTAATTAATCTGTCATTAGCAAATGTTTGTTATAGCATCACATTGTCAAATCATGGCGTAATTAGGCTTAAAAGATTCGTCTCGCAATTTACATACAAACTGTACAATTGATTTTTTTTCCACATTTAATGTCCTATGCATGTGTCCAAACATTTGATATGATGTTTTTGGCTAAAATTTTTTAGATCTAAACAAGGCCTAAATGATACTTGTGATGGAAAATGCATCAAGTTTATTCACAGATAACAGAGGAACATGCATGAAGATGAAGTGCACATTTCAAGAGGCAGGGAAAATATCAGACTACTTTCATCCTACTGAAGTCAGGGTGTGTTTAGTTCACGTCAAAATTAAAAGTTTGGTTAAAATTGAAATGATGTGACTGAAAAGTTAAAAGTTTATGTGTATAGAAAAGTTTTAATGTGATAAAAAAGTTAAAAGTTTAAAAAAAAGTTTAGAACTAAACTCGGCCTTACCTGATCTTCAGAAAGACCCCGAAGTCTAGAGATGAAAATCTTCTAAACATAAGTCAAGGATCACAATGCGATGAAGAATGCATCAAGTTTATTCACAGATAACAGATTGATGAACATGCATGAAGATGAAGTGCACATTTCAAGAGGCATGGAAAATATCAGACTGTACTTTCATCCTTCTGAAGTTAGCTGATCTGTAGGAAACTAGGAACATCTTAAGGTTTTGATTGGAATTAGGATTAGTCCTAGCTTAGCTGTCATCAGTGGCATTACAACAGAAGCACAGAACAACAACCGTGGAACTGCAGCATTGGAACCTAGTACTGCAAAGTCTGTCGAAGATATTATCAGCGACACCTGTATAACAAAAGCGTGGCACATGAGACATGGATACATTCGCGCATTAGATGCGATGTCGACCAGTCAACCATGTCGATGATATAAACTATAGAGATGAATTTATAGTATAAATACTTACAGATCGCATGAACTTCGTTATTAAAAAAATCGAGGTGGTCAGGTGCCACATTGCCAATGCTGCAATTCCAACTGTCAACATAAAACTATATTTATTTTTATGAAGTGTCTGAAAGTTCAAACATGCACATGTGCAGATGTCTAGTGATTTTATTATTATGCAAAGTACTACAACCTGTATTTCAGTTTATCAAAATTATTCATCAAATTTGCCAACTGAGCTCCCCTTGCGGTAGAACATATCCATCGAAGTTCAAGTTGTAGTCTTAGTATAGGTGCTTTTGCATTTTTTTTCTAGGATTTAATCTGATGAGGTAGTATGCTGGTGCTTGCACTTTCTCGGAGACTTAATCTCCGGAGGCACTGAATGCACATAATATTTGGTGGATAAGTTTATACCCATGTTAAACGAGGCTACTGTTCGAATTTGAGTGTATGTTAGGACTTAGATGCATAAAGTTAGTGTGTGCATATGTCAACTTAACTCGACAAAGGAAATAAGCCTTACATTTGACATAAACCCCTCGTTGGATTACTTTGAGATTCGTTCAAATCCCCCCACGTTAACCCTCTTCCTTTTCTTCTTCCCTCCTCACCGATGCACGACATGCTCGACCTTGACGCCTCTTGTGCTATCACTTGGATGGAAGTGTCATTAATATTGACGGAGCCCTCCCCCCTCTATTCCTTCTCAAGCCAGCAGATGCCCATGATCCGACATTTTCCCCATCTTCGGCTGCTCATAACCACCACCACCGACTACCGCTTCTTAACACAAGCTTGCTTTGCCCCTACCGCGCTCCTTTATCCCAATGGGCGCTGACATCGCCGTTGACGCCTCACTAGCATCCATTGTCCACCACCCCCCTTGGTCCACCACTTCCCATGATCATGCCTCTAAGACCGACGATCTCCTCCCTCTTCCCCAATCCCTACCCTAAATCTAATATGGACCCTAATCCGTCGATTCTAGTTCAGGGTGGCGCCAATGTCGACAAAGAAAAGGAGGTTGCTAAAGCAAGAGGAGAAGAATATAGAGCACAAATCACAAAGCACATCTTTTTTTATCTTAATCACGAAGCACATCTTTTGACCCTAAATCTGCAAGATTTGACGATAACCCCCAAAAAATATTCATAAAATTTTAGATGGGTTTTCAGTTTTTTTTTCAAGTGCAAGCAAGTAAGGCCTCAACCGTCAAGCATGGGAAAGCTAGAAAAGTTAAGGAAAACCCACTCAAAAGCCCAGGAACCCCAAAACCTGGCCCATCTCCCCGGTCCCCGACCTCGCCTCTCCTTCCTCCTCTGCTCCCACTCCGCCTCGCCGCCGCCTCCACCATGTACGGCGTCGGCGGCGGCGGCGGGGGGTTCAACGCGCCCTACACGGCATCGGCCCGGCGGCGCAACCACGAGGACGACGACGACGAGGAGGAGGAGGAGTCCGGCGAGGGGCGCGTCCTCGAGGCCTGGGAGCGCGCGTACGCGGACGACCGGTCATGGGAGGCGCTGCAGGAGGACGAGTCGGGCCTCCTCCGCCCGATCGACACCAAGACCCTCGTCCACGCGCAGTACCGCCGCCGCCTTCTCCTCCGCTCTGCCGCCTCCGCCGCCGCCCGCATCCAGAAGGGCCTCATCCGCTACCTCTACATCGTCATCGATCTCTCCCGGGTTCGTTCCCCCGTGCCTTCTCCTAAGCTTGTCCTCGGGTCAGTCACTCCGTCGAGCACTTGGTGAGTGCGGAGTTTTCCGTGAGCTCGGGTTAGGATCACTGGGGATGGCGGGCAATGCTGATCGTGCTAACCTCTCAGTGTTTGTTAAATGCAACACCTCGTGCCGAGGCTGATCTGGTGGTATTGCCCATGGCCTCAATTTGGTTCGTGTGAAATGTGGACTGGAGG